AGGAGGACAGTGTGAGATCTCTATGAGCAGGTTTGAGCTGAGGCAAAGTGGTACAATTTCAGACCGACTCCCCGCCACTCACAGCCTGAGGGCTGACACTCCCCCATTCTTTGGATAGGAGCAGGATGGCACTCTTCTGCAGTAATAAAGCATGTGCCTGGGGGCCAACAAGGGGGAAAAGCAGTATCATGAGCCCTTAGAAACACTGTGCAGTGACATGGCCTCTGAGGATTTGCCTAGCCTGCACTGAGGAGGTTGCCCTGCCCTGACCCTGTGGGCAGTCAAAATTGACAGCAGGCTTATGATGAGGAAAGTTGACTTTTATTGATTTCCTTGGCTCTATGGTTCATACTAATTGGACTAGAAAGATTAAAAATATGGGGAATTAAAAAAAAACAGTTTGAAGCCTGGTATACATTTCATACTTTGGTGCTTGGCTGCATCCTTCATTCAACAAACATTTACTGAACTTCCACTGTAGGCCAAGTACTGTGCTGGGGCTAAACATACAGACATTAATAAGACACAGTCTGCCCACCAGAAGCCTAGAATCCAGTAGAGGATACAGACATCTATACCAACAGTCCCAATACAATGAAAGCCCTGCTGTAAGAGGCAGGCTGTTGAATTTCAGAGGAAAGACACAGAGATATCTCTTTTCTTACAGAGATAATATTTGAGCTAGACCTTGAAGGATAAATAAACATTCAGAAAAGGAAAGAAAAGGCAGAGCAGAAAATGAAAATCATTTTAAGCAGAAGGAACAGCACGCACAAAGGCTTGGAGACCTGGGAAAATGCAGCCCAATTAAGTACACTCTTAGTAGGTCACTGTGACTGACGCTTAAGGCATCTGAGGAAGAGTGACAGGAGATGAAACTGAAAATTAAAAAGGTCAAAATCACAAAGGGCTACTTATGCCATCCTAAAGAGGTCAGACTTTGTCCTGTAGGCAATGGGGAGTTATTAAAAGATTTTAAGAAAAGGAATAATATGGTATTACTGGTTTTTGACAGCTCTGTAGAGGATGAATCGCAGGAGAGCAAAAAAACAGGCTGAGACTAGAGGCAATGAGACAGTTAAGAGACTGGTCCAGGTGGGCAATGATAAGAATCTGAACCAGGCAGCCGGGGTGGGGATGCAGAAAAGAAAGCAGAGGCAAGAGGAATTTAGGAGTTAAAATCAACAGGACTTTGTGATTGATTCAATGTGGCTGAAGCACAAGATGGAGGAGCCAGAGAGTCTGAAGAGGGTGCTGAGATGGATAATGTGGCCATCTACCAAAATATGAAATATGAAGGGAGGAACAGGTTGGGGGGAGGGGAGAGACGATGAGTTCAGTTTGACAAATCATGAGTTTTGAGGTGCCTGTGGGATATCCAGGCATTGAGCCTAATGGAATCCAGGCCACAAGCTTATAAGAAATGGCACAGTCTCAACTCTCATTCCTAATGCCCATTTTCATGATTTAGAATACCATTCCTGAATTCCAACTGTCAATTCATTCACTACCAGGAATCTTTAGAGGGGCATCTTGTGCCCAGGTTCTTTCTGACACCTTGGCAAAGAATCATGGAACTAAATTGACCCCAGGAGGTAATCTTGTTGATTCCTTAGCTTTCAAACTAGACTATATGACCTAGTGTGATTAGGACTTTATCAAGCTAGAGATCTTTAGGAAGAATATTCTAATCTCAATCCTGTTATAATATTCTAACTACTAAATGCCTTATTCTTCCTGGGGAGATGGGGTAGGGGTGTGAACAAAAATTTATTTCATATCTGATATGTGCTACATGCTGTGCTGGGCACTTATATATATTATATTATTTACTCCTAGGTAGGCATTATTATTCCTGTCTTAGATACGAGAAAACTGAGGTTCTCATAGGTTACATGCCCACTATCATGCAGGTAATAAGTGGCAGAACTATGATTCAAACCCAGGTCTGTTTGATGCCTAAAACCTCAGTACTTTCCACTCTACTATACTCCTAATCTGACTTCTAGTGTTGGTGCCGACTGCATTTTAGTCTGCCACTATCTTATGTAGAAAAAAAAGAGAAAGAAAACACCGCAGAAAATTAGTCTTAGTTTGTAAATCACTAACAAATCATGTGGTCCAGATAATGCATTATTGTACCCTTATACCATTTTGTCTGTAAAATGCATGTGATTCATAGAAAAAAATTAGAAGCTTCCAGTCTATCCTCCTCTCATCAGTGATGGCTACCAAATGTATCATTGCTAAACCACAAAAGACTATGTTAAAGTAACATTTGTTAAAGTAACATTAAAGGCTCTGGATAAAAACCACTAGAGCGGGAAAGTGAAGCACTGTAGTTGATAGGTCCTCATAGCTCACTGTGGTGAGTGGCACGGGTGGTGTGGGCGCTATGAGACCACCCACTGATCCAAGGCTCCTACCGCAAAAAGACACAACAAGAGAAAGTTGTGGACACTCTGGCGTTTTAGAATTCAGATGGGACTGATAGTGTTTCTTTTAAAGAAATTCTTCAGTCCTCTCCCTATCTTACCAGTCATATTTTAGAAAGAAGGAAAAAAGCCGATTTTTTTTTATTTTTTACAACTTGGTTTGGAAAGGCAGGCTGTGAGACACTTCACTCTCTTCACTCTCCAGCCAAGAGAGGACATCTGTCAAGTGCTAACAGGATATAATCCCTCCTTGAAAGGCATAAAGACACATTCAGGGAGCTACAAGGGTCAAGAGTAAGTTACAAAGTAATGGAGATTCTTTCCTGTAGAGCGGCCAGTAAATATCACAGACTTGAAATACACCTTTCAAAACAGGAAAATCAAGAGCACAGTGAGAAGAGAATGGAGGGAAAGAGGAGACTGTAGAGGAAGGGTCTGCCCTCTTCAGATCAGGGCACAAAGTTATTTATTCACTTAGTCAATAAACATTAATTGAGAAGCTACAATGTTCCAGGTTTAGAGGAAATAAAAATTAGTAGGAGACATGGATCCTTCCCTCAAAGAAATCACAGTCTGGCCGGCCCTGTGGCTTGGTGGTTAAGTGCGCGCGCTGCGATGCTGGTGGCCCGGGTGCGGATCCCGGGTGCGCATCGAGGCACCGCTTCTCCGTTCATCCTGAGGCCGAGTCCCACATACAGCGGCTAGAAGGATGTGCAGCTGCGACATACAACTATCCACTGGGGCTTTGGGGGGAAAAAAATAAAATAAATAAAATCTTTAAAAAAAGAAATCACAGTCTAATACCAAGGCAGTCAAGTAAATACATAATTACAATAAAGCAGGATAAGTGTCCTGATGCATTTAGAAACTAGTGCTCTAGGAGCACAAAAGAAAGAAACTAGATCTACCTGGAGGGAGGAGGTGTCAGTGAAGATTTCACTGAGAGGATATTTAAGCTGAATCTTCAAGTAGCACAAGAAGCTGACCTAAAGGTATTGGTAGAGAAGGATATTTGAGGACAAGGAAAAGGCATGCTTAAAAGCATAGAAGTATAAAAGGACTTGTAATATGTTCAGCTGGACCAAGGCTTAGGGTCAATGTGGGTGGAGGGTGGACGGTGGTTGCATGATGGAAGATATGATTGAAGATATATTCAAATCCTAAATTACAAGGAGCTTTCCTTATGGTGTTAAGATGTTTGGATTTTACCCTGAGGTCAAGAAGGAACTCTATAGAGGTCTTTAAGAAGGGAAATACCATGGAAAGTAGACCGTTTGGGAGAAGTTCAATAGTTTACCATTTACTGAGAAGCTATATGAAATCAGTTCTTCTGTGTGTCAGGCAAAGAAGTGCTAGAGGAGAGGAAGTGGGAAGGAAAGATCTGACACCAGAGAGAAAAAACAAGCCTAGAACTGAGACTACCCAAATTGAGAAATACTTCCTTGAAATGGTGCATAGCCAAAGTAAGGATGGGCCACTGAAGCCCTCACCCCATTCTTCTCTTCCACTTCCATATGAGGAAATACAACAGAGCAGTTTACCCTTACACTTATCTGAGATTCATCCTAAGAGGAAATCAAGCAAGGAAGCAGGCAGTGGTAAGATGGGAACTGTAGGGTACACTTAATTCCCCCAATATGCAGAGAAGTAGGGGCTCCTCACTGAGGCATAGAGATGACCAGATGCCCCATTTTGAGGTAGTATGGTTTTAGCTTCCTTAAATGGCCAGATATGGGTCTCAAGAATCAAAAGCAAAGAGGCCCAAAGGCAATAATTAGATGTTCTTCCTAGAATTCTTCACTAAAGAAGAATAAAAATGTTTCCACAGATTTGTTGACTTACAGCAGCCCTATTTCCAAAGCATGTAACACACCGGTATAGGTCAGAGGTACACAGAGTAAGTGAGGTTCCTGGAGAGTGAGTCTCCAAATTAAACAATGCCCAGGAAGATACTGGCACTACACTAATCTGAATCAGGATGCTTTCCTTATCCCACTGAAATCTGAAGTTATGGTATGTGATCAGAGCCACTCAGAGAAGTATGGAAAATCTGACCACCTCAGGCCGCCTGCACCAGGCTGAGTCCCACACTCCTCTCTCTCTCTTCCATCATGGAGATGAAGGTTAGACTGTCTCCTCTGGCCTCTGCCCCATTATCTTTTGCAAGAGGAAGGCCGAGTCTGCTGAAGATAAACATGGTCTGTCAAGGCATCAGCTCCATCATCCTTCCAGAGAAGCTGAAGAGAAGAGAGGCAAGAGCAGGATCAAAACCCATCATACTAGGTCCTTAGGGACGTTTTCCAACCAGACGAAAGACACTCTGAGAAAAGCAAGTCTTGTATCTTCTGGGACTTCTAGCTTTGGAAAGGAGCACACAAGATACTTACTGGAAATCAGACATGGAAATCAAAACTGGTTCCAAATTGCTACTTGGCTTTTTTTACCCTTAAAGTGATAAGCAAACTGATTTTCCCAGTACATATACATATGTAATGTGTATATATATATAACAGCCCCAACTATAGAGGCTGAACTTAAACTGCAGCTTGAGCCAACTCTACTTCCCCATACCTTACCAGGACTTGGTAAACCTTAAAAGGGAATACTGTCTGACTAAAGCCAGACAACTAGCCCCTTAAGAGCACATTTATAATTTATTTATGGCTTAATATTTTCCACTGATAGGATTAATAAATCATGTTTTCATTCAACTTGTTTTCTCTGAGGTATGAACTTCTCTATTTTGATACCAGATCTTAATATGTTTTATTTTGCTTGTCCGTTTTCCAGTTCATTTTTGCAGCTACAGGGAGAAATTTATTAGTCTGTATTGCCGCCTTTCTGCTGTTGTGGAGCTGGATTCTCTGAATACCCAACAGTCCCTCAGGGAAGCGATCTCAGACAGCGAGGTTGCAGCTGCCAAACAAAGACACCAGCAGGTTTTAGATTTCATTCAGGTAATAGTTTGTTTCTTCTGAGGTAAAAGGAAGGAAGAAGGGGCAGGGTGGAGAGGATGAGAACCAAGCATGAGAAAGAACAGCAATCGGGGCTAATTTAAAGACGACAGTGTGCAAGTAGCCAGTTGATTTGGTTAAAATGTGGAGCTCAGGGAGATGTGAGTTTTTAAACAAAGACTTAAGAAACAGCTACAGATAAATCACAGTGTTACTAAGAGCTGCATCAGCCACTGTGGCGGGTAACAGTGGCTTCCCATATCGGAGAGAAAAATCACTGCCAGAAGAAGTAGTGCTCAGAATATTATTCTTACCCAGTAATGCATTGATAATTCCAACAGAAAGAAAAATTGTATTAATTAACTCAATATCCCAGAGAAAAAGAGAAGAAATGACCCATCAGTTTATGTTAACTCAAATCCAGTTGGACCTAAGATTCCTCATGCTTCAGACTTCTTTCTGGCAGAGTTGACACTTTAATGTGTGGCTACGGAGATTAGAAAATGTGTTCCCTGTCCACGGTCTTGTCTGGAAAGGCCTTATGGTGACACTTCACAGTCTTGTGACAGGAGTATTGACTAGTCATCAAGAGAATTTGGATCTGGTGTGAAATTGCCTCTAAATCCCTTGGAAAAATCTTACAATCTTTCTGCCTGTAATTACCCAATTCACAAAATGAGTGCAATAGCCCTGTGATAAATATCACCATGATAATATTCAGTTCAATTTGATAAATATTTGCTGAACACCCAGGTGTTAGGCACTGTAAGGGAAATACAAAGTTGAGTTAGACATGGTCCCTGACCTTAAAGAGTTTAAAATCCATTAGGATAGGCAAGAAATGTGTATAAATACTATCTGTAAAACGAGTCAGGTGCCAAAAAAGTAAAAATTTACTTATATTTGTAGATATAAGAATAGTTGCGCTAAAGTATGTAACTGATACCTAAGCTGGACCTAGAGAGATACGTTAGACTAGAGTGAGCAGAAATAGACTGCAGAAGTCTTCAAAGAAAAAGTATAAAACAGATAAGGCAGAGAGAGCAGAAAAATAGTATTTGGGGAATGATGAGTATTCAAGATTGGTTGGGGCATGAATTGAGTGAAGGACAGCAGTGAGAAATTAGGCAAGAATGAGAGCAGCAATGAGATCAGATCACAAGGGCTTTATTAAAGGCCATTGTAAAAAATTTGCACTTTATTCTGTAGGCAATAGGGACCTGGCCAAAGTTTTGGAGAAAGTAAGTTACAGGCTCTCATAGCTGTTTAGGATAGATTCAAGCAGCGGGGATATTCCTCCCATTCACACTGGTATGGCCATACTCCTTGTTTACAGTAAGCACTCATTCTCATTGGCCATGCTCACTAAATAATTTGCCTATCATTCCTAGATTTAAGGAGAAGACGACTAATGGCAGGGAAACCAGATACAAAACTATTACAACCATTCCGGTGAGAGGTGATGAGGAAATGCTGTGAACTTTGGGCAAACAATTTCTCTAAATCACAACCTCCTCATCCATAAAATAGGGATGAAAATAATAGTACTAGCTCACAGCATTACTGAGAAAATGCAACAAAATAATACATCTACAGCACTTAGCAAAGTGCCTGCACATATTAAGTATGCAATAAATTATATATTCATTTATTCATTCATTCATTAATAAGGGAAAATGCTTTAAAACATGAATATGCAAGATTTGGGGTTTATTAAGTACTCAGGAAGAAGATATTGTAATATCTGCAAAGTGGTGAACAGACACATCCTATTCTACTTATCTCATCCTGTAAATGAGATATCTTAGGTGACCTCTCAGACTAAAGAAATAAATCTTTCAAGAAGTTACGTGCTCTCTTGACCTGAGAATTTAGTATTAAAAATTCAAAACATTTACATCATTTGTTTTATTTCCAGTAAAAGTGGAACACTGATGGGGGAAAGTGTGGGAAAAGGAAGAACGAAGCATGAGGAGACTATAAAAGACTAGCTTATCTTTTTAACCCAGTATAAGGGACAGTGGAGCATAGTAAGAATACTGACCATAAGTCAATTAGCGTACATTTTTAGTCCTAAATCTTCCACTGATAAACCCTGGAGTTTTGGACAATTCATTTGATCTCCAGGGGCCTCAATTTCCTCATATGTAAAATGAAAGGATTGGACTAGATGACTTCTAAGGGCCTGGTTGGCTCTAACATTTCATGACTTCTTTAAAAACCATAAATATTTTTAGAGAAGTACTTCTCTAACCATGCCTTAGGTTCTGTTTCTGCTTTATTCCACTTAAGCCTCCCTGAATCTAGTATGTTCAAGCAATGAAAAGGCTGATGTTCTTCAGTATGTCACAGTCTCAAACCCCTCCAGGAGTTCCTGGCTCCATTCTTACTCCCTGATGACTACTCTTACTCCTTTCTTTTTCACCTAACCTAGGGCTCCACCGCCTTTTTCTCTTTCCTTTTCACCACATCATTAAGTGGGATGGATAAAGGCAGGCCAGGCCAGGAATTCTTCAAAGTTCTAGCCTGCTCTGGTCTCCCAAAGCAGGTAACTTGAGAGCCCCCTTTACATATTCTCATTCCAGCCAGCCAGGTACACACAGACTTGGATAAAAGCCAATTCTCAAAGGGTTCAAAAAATCACCTCTTAGCCAGGGTAAAACCAGACCATCTCCCTGCACCCATAGCCTTCACTGAACTGCCATGCTCCATCCAACGTGGATAACTTCACTGACTGGAGTGAACGTGATATCATCTCTCCCCTTATCCATGTTGGGCTTCTCAGTCTCTCTTGCTCAGAATGAAAACCAGCTGCAGCCACTCACCCATTGGCGTTCACAGCTCAGCCTACCACACACCATAACCTGCCGAGGCAACCACCAGCCGTGAGAGCATTTGTATGATTCCAGATCTAAGACAGTGTTGAAGTCACTACACAAACCAAACATTGTAAAGAGCAAGGGAGTCTATGTAAATACAGTGAGGAAAAGAAGCCAAGGAGTACAGCCAGAAAGAGGGAGGGCTGTGACAGAGGAGGCGTAGAAAATCATAGATAAGGTATAGAGGCTTTATAGACAGCACATGCAGCAGAAATGTCAAAGTGCAGAGACTTAAAGCTTGGCATATTTTGAGCTGCTAGAGCCTAAAGGGCAATTAGGCTATAATTTATATACCATAATGTTTCAAATGCTCCTAAGCTGTAATAGAAACACAGCTCATTAAATATAGCCAATCTATCATCCCCTCAAGCACCTTGTAACTGCGCTGTGAAAAAACCAATCACCTTTACATTTTAATAAAAATATTATCTTGCCTGAGTACAGAGAAACGGGTGTAATTTATGGGATGAAAACCGAAATTTTTAAAGGGCACAGTGAGAAATGGATGCAGAACTTTTAACCAACAGACATAGGGAGTTCATGGTCTTTCTTTTTAAAAATGTGTCAGCAAGTCTTTAGAAGCTGAATTTGGACCTTAAAATCAGGGGGATTATGTTGTCAGTTATTTTTAGATCAACAGTATAAGGTGAAATGGGTGAAAATTGTACTTGTTTTAGAGCTACTTAGCTAAGTCTGTTAAACTCAGTCCACAGGCCTCCCAGTACCTGTGTTTTTAATTTTCTTCAGTTAATACCTCTTCACTTCATCACTGAGAAAAACTAAGAAGTAAACATTGTTTCTACACATAATTTTAAAAATTTCCACACTAAATCTCACTATCCATCCTCAGCAATACGGCTAAAGCAATCTTATCCAAAGAGAATAAGTGGATTATTACTATTTATTGTATTAGTTTCCTAGGGCTGCTGTAACAAATTACCACAAACTGGGTGGCTAAAACAACAGAAATCATTCTCTCACAGTTCTGGAGTCCAGAAATCTGAAATCAAGGTGTTGGCAGGACCGCACTCCCTCTGGAGGCTCTAGGGGAGAATCTGTTCTCTGCTTCTTCCAGCTTCTAGTGGCTGTTGTCATTCTTGGATTTATGGCAACATCACTTCAATCTCTGCTTCCGAGGTCACATTGCCTCCTTCTCCTCTGTCTGCCAAATCTCCCTCTGCCTTACTCTTATGTCTTAATGAGGACATTTGTCATTGGAATTAGGGCACACCCAGATAATCCAGGATAAATTCCTCCTCTCAAAATCCTTAACTTAATCATATCTGTTGCCACACAAGGTAATATTTACTCTTTTTTCATATAAGGTAATATTCACAAGTTCCAGAGATTAGGACATAGACATATCTTTTGGGAGCCATATTCGGCCCACTACAATAATCATGATTGTCATTGTAATAACTGAAAACTTTATAACAATGTACAGTTTATAAAGTGCACTCATCTACATTATCTTACTTAATCCTCATAATAACTCTGTTCAAGGGTAAAGATCTACAGAATTAGGTAATCATTCATTCATTCATTCATTCACTGAGCAATCATTTATTGAATACCTACTCTTTGCCCAATCCAGAGTAAAAGATATAAAAGCACAGTCCAGGTCCTTGGCAGGCACTGTAAAAGCTGTCCACACTCATGTAGTGCCTTAAAATTTGAGACAAGAGTATGCTGCATGAGGTAGGACCAATAAAAGCCAGATGAGAGAGCAACAATCCCATCAAGAAAATTTGTCCGAGTCTTCTCTGGGATTCCTACTTTGGCTTTACCCTGCTAAACTTCAGATTTCTCCTTTTACAATGCTCAGTACCTCCTCATAAGCCTGCTCATTGCTGTACTCCTTGCCCAACTCACTACCTAACAAAGCCTGAAGCTAAATCTCATGCTTTCATTACCAGCCCTTAATACTCTGCCAAGTCCTGTCACCCCAGGACAGAACAGGACTAGAAAGCAAGAGAAAACAGCTATTGACCACACAGTGCCATTCACTAGTTTGACTCTAGCTTGCCTGTCACTCTGAACATGGCATATTTTCACAGTTTCAGACTCTACTCTGTGTTTGTTGGGAGCACCAAGTTTGTGGATATTCTTTAAAGAGTATACTTTAAGTACAGATTAAGGCCCTACGAAGGAATTTTGAAAATAAAATAGAACACTAGGTAGTCCCTTATCTTTAAATCTTCTACAATCAGAGAGATCTTAACCTTGCAGTATTCATACAATGAACACCTTCTCCCTGGAAGTTGCGTGACATCAACTTTCCAAATGTTCTTCAAAAATAAATCATAAAGTGTCAGAGCTGGAAGGGACCTTAGACATCATCTAGCCCAACCTCCTCTTTTTACAGTTGAGTAAATGGGTCTGAAAAAGTTAATGGCTTGCCCAAGACACCCAGTAAAATTAGACGCAAAACCTATCATAAGCTCCAGGGTCCCATGAAAAAAATGTGTGACTAACAGCCCCTCTTTGGAGAGAGTCAGAATAACCAGAAAGTTCACGGACAGTATCTATTAAGTTCTGGGAAAATATCTGTCATCTACAGAGGCAGACACAAAAATATGGTGACTTTTTCACTAATAGGCTTCAGAAAAACAACTATTTTACTTTATAGTGAAAATGTTGTTAAAATCACTTTGGTAACCCAGAAATCAAAATGGTAACAATCTAAAATGGGCTACCCTAAAAATATAAGGATGTTTAAATTACTTAGGAATAAGCTGTTTTTTATTTGAGAAGCACTTATTTTATATGTAAGAAAGTAATAAGTTTAATAATAAAGTTATTTCTTTTCTATTAAAATAGGTCCAAGAATCTCTGCTTAGCAAAATATTCCAGTAATGCTTTGTGTTTCCAGTTCATACAGAATAACTAAAACTATATTTCTTTCTTCAAGTATTCTGAAATTAAGACTTTATCCGATGCCTTTCCCACAATATAGTAATGAGAACTATTTCATCATATGCTTAGAATTAATAACATTTCATATGTGTAAGAAATGTACCCTGCAGTTTTACAAAGCACTTTCAAATTTATCATCTCATCCAATCATCATAACAGTCCTGTGATGTTTTGTCCACATTTTACAAATAAGGCAATTAAGGCTCAGAGAGGCCAAATGACTTGCCAGAGTTTATTACGGAGCTAATAAGTGGTGGATCCCAGCTGGAATCCAGGTCTTCCACTATTTGCACTAAATGACATAGCCTCTCAGGTAAAAATATGCAAGAGATTATAAAGAGGTATTTTCTGGCTTAGCAAACCTATGTTGAAAATATTTTATTCTTGCTCAAAACCACTACCAAGGAAAATGTATCATCTTGAACTCTCAAGAAAACTTACTCCTTTTTAATACCTGTTTGATAACTTAATGTCTTCTACCATTTTATTCCAAAGCAAATAGATGAAGTTTGGCGTGAAATGAGATGGATCATGGATGCTCTACAGTATGCAAGATACAAACAACCAGTTTGTGGTTTACCCATCACTAAGCTGATAGACCCCTCAGATGAGCAGAACCTAAAGAAAATCAACTCTACATCATCACATATAGACTGTCTTCCATCACCATTCCCATCCCCAGAGATGCACAGAAGAAAGGCAGTGAGTGGTAAGCAATAAGATCTGAAGTTCTGTTTCAGTTATCAGATTCTTGGTCCTATCTCCACTGACGAGCTTCTTTTCTGCTGAGGCATAGGTCCCAGCGACTAGTAGGAAACACTGCTCAGTGGTAAGAGTCTAAAAGCATAGAGGGAACAAAATCACAACAGTGGAGGGGTAGGAAACTAGAGCAATAACCTGAGATCAGCTCCATTTAAGGATGGGGAAAATTCAGTCCAGTCCTAGCCCAAGCTTCCAAAAGGACACAGAGCAGGGATGAGGCTTCAGAAATCCAGAATGGAGACGGCTGCGGTGCCACGTGAGGGCCAAGTCAGCCGAGGGAATCTGATCAAAACCAAGGAAGGAAAGAGAACAGGCCTCTAGTAAATAGGGGCTGACAGGGATGAGGCAGGAAGTAGGCCTCACCCTGGGTAAGAGTTCAGGGCAAACTTCCCACCCACATGGCACCAATGTCCTGGGGTGGGAGATGGGAAAGAGAGAAACCCTGGATAAATCAGAATCCTGAGCCTGAGGCCAAATAAGTGAGTTGGCCTCATCACGGACACAGCAAGCAGGAGACAACTTACAGATAAGCTAGCAAGTCACCTTCACTCTTGGTAATTAAGTTTGAGTTTACATGGCAAATGCTAAGCACAAAAACACGGCTGGGTTGACACAAATTTCTACAAACACCTTTGTGCATATAAACAGAGAGAAAGCACACCAGTCAAAGGCAATATAATGCTCTTGCCTAGGACATATTGAAACTAGTGCCAGTTTTCTAGTCAATTAAAATAATGGCATTCAAAGGATCTTTCTTGATTCTATAGCTTATAAGAGCTCCAATTTTGTAAGCTTTACAAGAACAATAATTGATATTTTTAATAAACAGTTCTGAATTGTGGGCTTGTCCCATAGAGGGCAGCATGGTGTAGCAGAAAGAGCTTGGGCTTAGAAATCAAGAGACCTGGATTCAAATCCCAGCTTTGTTTTACTAGCTATATCAGCCTGAACAGATTATTACATCTGAGCCTCAGTTTCCACATAAAATGTGGAAATTTATGTGGATATTATTATTCCACATAAAATGAGAATAATAATATCTACACCTTGAAAAGTTACTTGTGAATAAGACAATCTATGTCAGAGATGCATGGTATATAATAGACAATAAATTGTAGGTATCATATTTAATGTTATTATTCTTATTATAGAAAACTTTAGTGGCGATATGAGCCTTTTTTATAAGTAACTTTGTGTATGCTCCTATGTTTTATTTTTTTGTGAGGAAGATCGGCCCTGAGCTAACATCCATGCCAATCCTCCTCTTTTTACTGACGAAGACTGGCCCTGAGCTAACATCTGTGCCGATCTTCCTCCACCTTATGTGGGACGCCGCCACAGTATGGCCTGACAAGCGGTGCCTTGGTGCATGACCGGGATCCTAACCCAGGCCACCACCAGTGGAGCGCGTGCACTTAACCGCTGCGCCACGGGGCCTGCCCCAAGCTCCTATGTTTTAAAAACTTCAATGTCTAAAAATCAAAACTTGGCAAGTGGAAGAACTTGAGAGACAGCTAATTTTCATTCTATGATTTACCAAAGAATTCAACAAAAGAATTGTTTAAATAAGAGTTTCTCAAGTGTATTTTTATAGATTCTCACTGGGCTGGGGATACAAATAACATACCATCCCTGCCAGAAGCTAGTCTAATGGAGGAGACAGATACATTAACAAAAAATGTCATGGTAATTGCATATGTGCTATGTTGAGGATATGTATAAGGTGCTATGGAGTCTATTGTAGGTGTTAACCGTAAACTCATAAGATCAAAGAGAGCTTCCTGGAGGAAGTGACAAAGTCAAGTACAGAAGGATAAGCAGGAGTTTAGCTGAAAAAGAGGAAAGAGGAGAGCAGTATAGCCAGAGGAAGCAGAATGTGCAACCACGTCATAGTTCAGGAAACTGCAAGCAGTCTGGCTGAACTCAGGATCTAAGAATATTGTTCATTCTGTGTTTCTTTCACTAAAAAAAAAATTTATTGGTTACCTACTATGTTACAGGCACTCTTCGAGGTAACAGGGATATAATAATAAACAAAGCAAAGTATCTGCTCCCATAGAGCTTACATTATAGAAAGAATGACAAACAAGGAAAACATAAACGAACATGAGAGTTTCAGATAGTGAAAATTCCAATGTACAATACAAAACAGCAATCAGCGTGGGCAGGGAGAGTGTTGAATTCACTACGATGATCAGCAGAGACCTATTACGAAGGTTACATTTGAACCAACCAAAGAAAAAGGAGCCAGTAATGCAAAGACCTGGAGTTGGAATATTCCAGGCAACAAAACAGCAAAGGCCCTGAGGTGGGTAAGGGTTGGAAAGAAGGCCAAAGTCATCGAGCAGAGTAAACAAAGGGGCCAGTGGTGAGAGAGAGGGTAGAGAAAAAAGCAGGGGCCAGATCAGGCAGGGCCACGGTAAGAAGTCTGGATTTTATTCCACTTGTGATGGAAAGGCATTGAAAACTTTTAAGTAAGGATTGATATGATCTGAATTACTCTTTAAAATCAAATCTGGCTGTTGGATGAAGAGACCATAGGGGGACAATATTGGAAGCAGGGAGATCAATTAGGAAGATATGAACAGAAAAGATACCAAGTTTTCCGGCTTGAGTGCCTCAGGATTTCATACCATTTACCAAAAAAACATTAGATAGGAGGAGAAACAAGCTTGGGTGGTTGGGCATGTTGAATTTGAGTTAGCTTCGGGACATTCAACACAAAAAGAAACGTTCAGGGCCGGCCCCGTGGCTTGGTGGTTAAGTGAGCGAGCTCCACTGCTGGCGACCCGGGTTCGGATCCCGGGCTCGCACCGACGCGCTGCTTCTCCGGCCATGCTGAGGCCGCGTCCCACATACAGCAACTAGAAGGATGTGCAGCTATGACACACAACTATCTACTGGGGCTTTGGGGGGAAAAAAATAAAAAATAAAAAGTTTAAAAAAAAAAAAAAAAAAAAAAAAAAGAAACGTTCAGGGGAAAAGGGGATGTATGGGGTCTGGAGCTCAGGAAAGAGAACTGGACTAATAATATAGATTTAAGAATTGTTGGGGCCGGTCTGGTGGCGCAAGCAGTTAAGCACGCGCGCTCCGCTGCGGCCGCCGGGGGTTCACCGGTTCGGATCCCAGGTGCACACCGATGCACTGCTTGGCAAGCCATGCTGTGGCAGTGTCCCATATAAAGTGGAAGAAGATGAGCACGGCTGCTAGCCCAGGGCCAATCTTCCTCAGCAAAAAAAGAGGAGGATTGGCAGATGTCAGCATAGGCTGATCTCCTCACAAAAAAAAAAAAGAAAAAAGAATTGTTGACATATGAATGACGTAGCTATGAAATGCTTGGGATCCCCTGGAGTGAGTATTTAGAGTAAGAAGAGGAGAATATGGAAGGCTCCCCATGGAATGGAACAGTAAGACTTTTTAGACTAAGAAAAAACAACCAGAGGAAGAAGATAAAAAACAAGAGAGTAGTGTCACAGAAATTGAAGCATGTCAAAAGATGGTGAGAGGTTAAACAAAACTGAAAAGCTTCTATTGTTTTGTTTTGTTTTGTTTTCAACAAGGAAGTTATCAGTAATCAGTAATCTTGATGATAGCAGTTTGTGAAGGGAAGGAAATAGAAACCAAACCGAAGTAGATCAGAGAGTAAATTGAGGTAAAGAAGTGGGACCAGTAAGGACACACTCTTCGAAATCTTGGCTGTGAAAGAGAGAAGGGAGAGAGGGCAGTAGCTAGAGAGGTATAGGGTGAAAAGGGCATTTTTTAAAGGCAGGATAGATATGCCCTCTGTTGTTCCACAATTCACATAATTCTACAGACAACTCTTCAAATCTACTTCCACCTTCACAGGCCTTGTCTGCCCTCTCTGCTCACAGAACTTTCCCAATGTTTAATCTTCTCTTGGCCACAGGGTCCTAAGTGGTCCCCTTCTGAGGATGGCCTCTCCTATGCCACAGAAGTGCCAAACTCTCACACTGGCCAGATGACGGGTTACACACACTCCCTGCTGTGAGGATCTGGCCAATTACATTCGGACTTTATTATTAACTTAAAATGTGAGCGATCATCATTCTGTTTCTTAAAATATAACTCTCTCTTGGGTCCATTTATTTCTCTGAGGCCAAGATTCCATGAGCTGTGAAACACAAAGATGTGGAGGGCAGCAAATGAAAAATGGAACCCAGTGACAAGGAAACTGTTCAGAGCTGGGAGAAACATTTACTGTCCTATCACCTCACAAAAGCAAAAGCATTTCAGAGTGATGTAATCTACTCCTGCATACTCTGTCCTCTCCACTAGTGTAACTACTTTTAATTGTTTAGAAACCATTTATGAAGAGGAAAAAATCCAATTTACAGAAATATTCCCACTGGGTTACTATAGGGCAAAGTCTGCAACACAACTCCATTCCGTGTGGGTAGGGTTCACCTAACTTCTGAGGAGCCTGATGGAAATACAGAGACTCTCACAAACCCAGCCTCTGGTGCCACACCAAGATTCTGTTTTAAGGCTACTGAGTACCTTGGATTTGTTTGTGTGTATCTGTGTGTGCTAGGGCAGGGGTGGGGGGTGGGGAAGTGGAACCCTTTAACTTACTTCCCATTTCTGTGTGGTTTTCAAACGCAAAGTAGAACTCCTCTGAGTCAATTAAAATTAAGCATCTCCCAAGGACCCAGGGGGAAAGTTGGCTCCTAGAAAAGGCAGCTCAAGGCAGGGGGTGGAATGATCTGGTCCATCACATGGGTATTTTCTCTCCCACTCCTTTTCTGTGGGTATAGTGGTCACAGGCAGCAGCAATTTTTTTTTCCGATACTGCTATTTCTCCTAGTGACGAATGGGTGAGGCAACAAAGGGGAGGGGGGCGTTATTTCCTTCAGATGCATTTGAAGATTATCCTGATCTTCCAAATGTAAATCTTCCGGGTAACCTTTTCCCAGATGATGTTAAGTA